GGGCAATTACTCTGGTATTTCTTTCTACAAAGATACTTATTCCCTCTTAACACATGGGGCAAGTGAGACACACAGAGCCATATTCATCCTACTAAGTGATGTTCCATCAGAGATGAATTTGGCCCAGAGATGTTAAAGCCAATATTTTCAAAGTTGGATGTCTAAAGCTAGGCACCTAGAGCCCATTGAAGTCAGTGGAAATACTCCTATTGGCTTGACTAGGCCCCTAATTACTCCTTTAGACACACAAATAAATGTCCTAATTTAGGAGGCGCTGAGCACTTGCAGCTCCTATTAAATGTTCTTTAGACGTAGGCAAAGGAGGAGCATTAGAACTCAAGAGTTCCTGGAGCCCAGACTGTTGGTCAGTCCACTAACCACTCTGCCCCACTACAGCAGAGTTTTTATTTGTGCTACACTGTACCCCATTAAACCCTGGCCTGTACAATTCCCTCCTGTGTCTGACCAATGCGGTACAGGAGCACTATTTACAGTAATTAAAAAGAAAAGGAAGGAAACCTCACAGAAGACAGGTTTGTTATAACACCGATGCTGCTTTGCATATAATGTAGATCTGTAGTGACACCTCACTTTCTTCATGTTTTTATACAGCCTGAATTCCTTACTAACATTCTAGAGCAGGGGTAGGCAAACTATGGCACGCATGCCGAAGGCGGCACGCGAGCGGATTTTCAGTGGCACTCTCACTGCCTGGGTCCTGGTCATCGGTCTGGGGGGATCTGCATTTTAATTTAATTTTAATTGAAGCTTTTTAAGCATTTTAAAAACCTTATTTACTTTACATACAACAATAGTTTAGTTATATATTATAGACTGATAGAAAGAGACCTTCTAAAAACGTTGAAATGTATGACTGGCACGCGAAACCTTCAATTAGAGTGAATAAATGAAGACTCAGCACACCACGTCTGAAAGATTGCCAACCCCTGTTCTAGAGCGATTCTTCCCTCTTGAGAAAAGTTAGAATTATCGGCATCCTGTTCCCATCTATAATACATGGCATAGTAAAAGTATGTTGCAGTATCCGTAGTCAGAAGACTGGTCATATTCAGCAACATGTGCTGTAGACAGCATCTATCTTTAGTGCCAGAGTGCTTTTAAGATGATGAAAGACCTTCCTTTCTGTGCAGAAAAGACAAGACTTCTATTTATTATTTCACATACATAGCACGCACTTACACAACAGATTGGATTGAAGTCCTGAAGCCAACTCGATCACAGTGAGAAATACAAAGTAAATTGTAACATGTGTTACGGGGATTTGGAATCAAAATACTTCAGCTCTGCACTTCACATTTTAGAATTCTAGGAACAGGATGCAACAGCTTGACTTTCAAAATGGTGTCCCCGTCAATCCTTTTAAAATAAAATGAGGCCACCTTATGAAATCCAAGCTGTAGTTTTGCACACACATTGGCAGGTGAGGGTAGAATTTGTGCCACTGGGTTCAAAAATTAAGCAGATATGGATACTTATTTCAGCCTGAACAGAAACACGTATTCATGGCATTCAAGCTATTTGAACATGCCAGACTTAGAATTCAGAAGTGCCTAACTCCCAGCCCCACATTCATATCACTAGCCCAAACACCCTTGCTAATGATAAGAAACTTGCATTTTATCCATTAAGGATGCGGAAATTCCCTCAAAGACATAAAATGACTCACCGTAATTTAAATTTTAAACTAGAGTGAACGAATTATGTTTTATACATAAGCAACAATAGCGGGTATTTAAATACAGTGCTCAATACATGAGTCTTAACTCCACTGCAGATTTTTTTCTTAATTAATAGACAGTATTTATTTTTGCATATGTATGCAATTTTCCAAAGCAATAAAAAGGCACATTAAGCGCTGTAATGCAGCTCATCTTTTATTGTTATAGACAATGAGAAGTACATCTAACATAATGGCTACCGTCACAGCTGTGAACTTGCAATGAATTCTATATGGGAAACATCCACCTATTATTCACTCTGCTTCTAACTCACGATACGCTGCATATGTGAAAATTCAAATGCTATCGACTACTTTCTAAATGCAATGCATGACATACTAAACAATATTATTTGCTTATAGGACTTTCCAGACTCTTTAAGTTGTTGTGACAGTAATAAGCATGCAAGATATTGATACAAAGCCATAGATACTATATTTACCCCCACTCCCCAAAGGGTGAGGCTGTGCTAGGAAATCCACAGGTTCAATGATGCATACAGGGTGAAATTTACGCCTTGTGCAGGGGTCAGCACAAGGCCACTGAAGTCCAAGTTCAAGTCCAAGTGGGAGTTAAGTGGTGCATTGACCTTGTGCTGTCTCTCTGCACAGGGGTGGGTTTCACCCAATTTGTTCTGCCTGTTGAAAAATATGTGATCTGTAACAGAGACATCTACAGCTACCCACTAGCTATGGTGAACTACTTTAGAGCACGGTGCAATGAGATTAGAAATAATTTTCTATTTTATAACCTGGTCCTGCAGCCCTTATTACATACAAAACTCTTCCTGACTTCGACGGGGGGGGGGGGGGGTCTGCACATGAGGCTCAGTAAATACTGGTCCCTGATAATTTGCACAAGTGGCTTCTCTAGAATACCACAAGGTTCAAGGCATGATTCACACCTATAATGGAGAATGAGAGGAGGTTTAAGCTTTCCTTTCCCTGGAGAATGTGGGGCCCAATCCTAAAGTCTTTACTCAGGCAAAACTCCCACTGAAGTCACAGGGTGAAATTCACCCCATACAGAAAGCCAGCCCAGCTCAAGGTTGATCCATTTAAATCCCACCTGAGCCCCACATTTTAAGGAGGATTTAAATGATGCACAGAATGATGCACAGATCTACAGCTGGCTTTCCCCACTGGGCTGAATTTCATCCAAACTGATGAAGGACTGCAGGATCAGGCCCAAGAGAGCCACAGCACATAAGGTCCTCCACCACTGATAATGAATTTAGACACTGAGTCATTTCTGTTTACTGGCTGTTGTAAATGCAATTTCTGGAGATGTTCAACAGGATGTTGGTGTTTGGCGGCAGGGTCTCGGATGAGTCAGGTATATCACCCTGGAAATTGTTTACAGGATGCCTCCTGCAAGCTGTCAGGACTTGAGCCCCAGCATGGTTTTATAATTACAGCCTGCGTGTGTTGTCCTTAGAACACCTCATCCTCCAGTTTTGCCAAAATGTTTAGCAATTCGGACACTGCTTGTAACCCAATTTATACGTATGATGATAAATGTTTCAAAGCTAATTGTTTCATTAAGGAAAAAAAGTAGAAGCCCCACCGTTCCTGAGTAGCCCGACAGTAACCTGTCAGTCTCTTCTGGAAAGGTGCTATTGAATTCAATAGAAATTAAACAATAAGAATGGATAGATATTACTCTGAAAACCTGGGTCATTTCACACAGAGAATACTGTCCTTTCTAAAGAACTTGTAAACCAGCTTATAGCATTCTATAGCCAGGATATAATTCTCTATTAATTCTACAAGATGGTTTCAAGAACCCTAGAGAAAGTTTATTATTTTCTACAGGAAATTTGTCTGGCAAACAAAATGGAAGTGAAAGAATTGAAAAGGAATCATATTTCCCTTGCAAGGTTTAAAGGAGAAACATGGCCAGCTGCTGCAAACTGCTGCATGTCTCCTGAGAGGTCCTGCGCACCCTTGTTTCCCACGGACTGCAGTGGGGAGCTGAAGGCACTTAGCAGGATCACCAGGCAGGAAACAATCAACACCTTGCAACCCTAGGGTGAAATTCATGCCCATTCAGAAGGCCCACTCAAAGGCTATGCACAACTTAAGTGCCACTTAATTCCACAAAATAGGACTTACAGGGGACTTAAGTGAGGCATAGGCATTGTGTAACGCCTCTGCCAAAACCATCTGAAGAAGGTGAGCTAGAATGGTTCAATCCAATACATGGTTTGCTTAATAAAGGACACTTCTTCAAAGAGTTTTGGCAGGTACATCCTGTTAAGCTGCCAGGCAGCATTCATGTGATTGCTAATGTTGCTGGCTACTTCCCTCTCCCCCCGCCAAAAAAAACAAACCCCAAGATCAGATCTACCGTATGGCTCTGAAGAAGTTAGTGGTGTGAGATACAAATAACTGTATAACATACAAGATCAGGGGTAGGCAACCTATGGCACGCATGCCGAAGGCGGCACGCGAGCTGATTTTCAGTGGCACTCACGCTGCCCGGGTCCTGGCCACCGGTCCACGGGGGTTCTGCGTTTTAATTTAATTTTAAATGAAGCTTCTTAAACATTTTATAAACCTCATTTACTTTACATACAACAATAGTTTAGTTATATATTATAGACTTATAGAAAGAGACCTTCTAAAAACGTTAAAATGTATTACTGGCACGTGAAACCTTAAATTAGAGCGAATAAATGAAGACTCAGCACACCACGTCTGAAAGGTTGACGACCCCTGTACTAGATACTGATACAACTGGTATATTAATATGATAGATAACTGCTTTAGTCACACTGCAAAGCAGTAAATGATAACCATTATTTTCTACATAAAACTATGACTTTTTGTGGATAACTCTTTAGCTGAGCTCATTGTAGAATAAGCTGCTTTTGGATGTGTAGGGTCATATTTTGACATTGGATACACCCATCATGAGTCATCAGTAAAGCCAATGGAAACCCCTTGAGGTCTCATCCCCAGTTGGTATGAACTGGTGTAGTTCTTTAGTGGACCTATGCCAATTTACATCGGCAGAAGACCTGGCCTGAACGTCCAAGGGCAAAACTTGACTTGACATTTCAGAATAATGCAAAGCTATTGTTACATAAATCCTAGAAGTGCAACTTTGGCACTGTTTCTTCTTTGACATTTCAGCATGTGTGACAGGAGATACAGTAATGATCAACTATGTCAAAGCAAAAAAGGTCTAACTCAGCTGAATCTGTACAGATGAAAACAATGTTTTCCTTACATTGTGACATATGCTCACAACCTGTACTCAATAAATCTGTCCGTAGTTTATTCAATAGCATTTTTAAAATGAATAATGTCCATTGGCCATGTCCCAGTGCTCATTTCAGTGCATCGCAGGAAAGCAATCACATAGGCCTCTCTTTTCTGCTCTCAGGAGGAGGGTTTCTGTCTGCAAAAGAACATTAAATCATGGAATTTAATATATCACTTTAAAGGAATATATAATTGATTAGATCTAATCCCTCAACACTGCGATTGTCAGGGTGCCTTGTGGAATGAGAAATCATGGTTATTATAGCTGGTTTATATGGTGACTTATCTGGAAAACTGGTACATAATAAGCATGTTCAGAACTGAGGAATACAGACTAAACTGCATGGAAATATTTGGTGGTTTTAATGTTTTCACTTTCACAGTTAATCTCAAGGGGTTAGATTGTCAGAATTTATTGAAGTGTCTTTTATTAACGCTGGGCAAAACTCCACTCAGTTACACTCTTAATTCCTTCCACTTAACAGGAAGACATCAACTACTGAAGTGCCCAGAACTGTATAATTTAATAGTACCAGTTACTGTGCTAAGGGTCCGATTCTGCTCTCACCTACACACCTGTAAATTCTTTGGGGCTGTCAATTTAACTTCCCTGCCCCAACTTTTCTGAATCTGAACCCTTTCGAGGTAGGTCTGGGCTAGAGCTTGTGGTCCTGTTTTAACTCGAGTTAATTTATTGCCAGTTACAGTACTGCCAAACCCAAGTCCTCAGAAATCATGAGTCAGACTCTCAAAACCCAGGAGACTAGCTCAAAAAATCAAGATTAAAACAAAACAAACAAACAAATGTCTTTATTTGACTTTTTGGTTTGGTGCTTTTAGGGGTTATGATTATCACTACAAAAGTTTTTTTTCTCCTGAAGATAATAGTCCATCTTAATTGATTAGTCTCGTTAGAGTTGGTAAGGCACCCCACTTTTTCTATGGTCTCTGTGTGTGTATGTGTGTGTGTGTGTGTATATATATATATATATATATAATCTTCCTACTGTATTTTCCACTGCATGTATCTGATGAAGTGGGCTTTAGCTCATGAAAGCTTATGCCCAAATGTATTAGCGTCTAAGGTGCCACAAGGACTCCTCGTTCTTTTTGCTGATACAGACTAACACGGCTACCACTCTGAAAGATTTTCTCTGTAACCATGAGGGTTAGAAACTTACTTTTTTAAAAAAAAGAAAGCTGAAATTCCCACCTACTCACATCACTACAGAAGTTGGGGCTTTCAGAGCAAATATCACAGGAATTGCGATAAAATCATGACTGTCGGCACTAACTCCAGATAGCGAAGACAATAGTGTCTGGACACTTCACAAACATTTTTGCTGAATGTAACTAACCTTTCATGGTTTACCTTAGGCTAAATCCAATCCCAGATCAGGAAGGGTGAAATTCACCCTGACGTAGAGAGCCAGCACAAGGCCTATCCAGATTGGTTAAGGTAAACCACAAACATTTGTGTTCTGGCATTTTCAATAAGGTGTTCATTAATTTGAGTTAATAACCTGAATGAACTAACAGGACCTTTAACCAGTCAACTCTCCTTTGCCCTGATGCCTACAAAAAAACCTTTGACATTAGGTAGGCAGCTGCTGTGCTAAAATCACTGCCTAACAGGCTGACCAGAACTGCTTCATTGTTCTCTTGTGCTCCCGCTGTCTGTCTGTTTCTACCTGTTGTCTCTTTTGTCTTATACTTAAATTGTGAGGTCTTTGGGGCAGGGACTGTCTTTTTATTCTGTATTTGTACAGTGCCTAGCACAACAGGGTCTCATAGGCACTGTGGTAATATAAATAATAATAATGGACCACAAACTCCAGTTCAGACATATTTCAAGGTGAAATTCACCCTTGTGCAGAGAGACATGCTCATGTTCTAACTCTAACGGAAGTCCTGTTTTTTGTAGGCTTAAATAGCACATTGGCTTTGTGCTAGCTCTCTGCACAGGGTAAACACCACTCTTCCTGATTTGGGATTCGACTGCTTTCCCCTCCTATGTTCCCCCGACCCCTTTTTCTTTTAAACGCACAAGCTTTGCCTTTCACCTTGACATTAGAACAGAAGGCTTGCTCATTTTTCCTGTTTGCTTTCAATTATTGGCTTGATGCTGCAGCGTGTGTCATTAAACAACGCGCTTTGTGTGATTCAGAGCTGTGTGAGGTGAACATTCTTGTTGTCATAAGCCTAGCAGACAACATAAGATTATTTTAGCACCACAGCAGCTCTTTGGATTTGAATACTTGTGTAGGAGCAACGCCCTGGCATTCCCACCACATGCTTCCTATATGAGTCTCTAGGTCCTTATACAAGCTGGAAGGGCTGATCCGGGAGGGTTCAAAAATAATCTCAAAGGCTAACAAATGCAAAAAGATCCCCATCAATGCCACCGTTGGTCCCAGGAGTCCCCTAAAAGAACATTACTCTGCAGGCCGTGCTCTTGTAAAAGGTATTCTGAATATTTAGAGTTATAACATTAAATTAATTTGGCGTAAAACTTCACAAAAAGATGAGGTGGGCCAAACGCTGACTTGGAATAAGGATAATTGAGGGTGAAATTTTCATAAGGCCGGAAGTGACAGTTGGGTCATCTAGTCTGATCTCCTGTATAACGCAGGCCATGGAATTTCACCTAGCTACCTCCTGTATTGATCCCATTAAGCTGTAAATGACTAAGCCACATCTTCGAGAAAGGCAGCCAGTCTTCATCTGAAGACTTCAAGAGATAGAGAACCCACCACTTCCCTGGGTAGTTTGTTCCCATTATTAGTCACCATTTGACTCCTATAATGCAAATAGAATCATAGGAATGTGGAATGCACCTTGAAAGATCATCTAGTCCGTCCCCCTGCACTGAAGCAGGACTAGATACACTTAAACCATCCCTGACAGCATAGGCGCCGACTCCACGGAGCTGGAGCACCCACAGGGAAAAATTGGTGGGTGCAAAGCACCCACTGGTAGCTCCCCGCCCCACCCCTCCCCCTGCCTCAGCTCACCTCCGCCTCCTCCCCTGAGCAGCCTCCGCGGCCTGCTTCTCCCCCTCCCTCCCAGCGCTTGCGCTGCAAAACACCTGTTTTGCAGGGAGGAGGAATAACGCAGCAAGGTTGGGGAAGAGACAGGGCCAGGGTGGGGATTTGGGGAGGGATCCAATGGGTGCAGGGCGGGGACGGGGGGTGTGCGAGCACCCACCAGCTCCAACAAAAGTTGATGCCTGTGCCTGACAGGTGTTTGTCCAACCTATCCTTAGAAACCTTCAGTGATAGGGATTCCACAACCTCCAATGGTTCCTGTACTTAATTTATTCCTGTACTTAACTATCCTTATAGTTAGAAAGATTTTCCTAATATCTAACCTAAATCTCCCTTGTGGCAGATTAAGCCCATTACTTCTTGTGTCCTACCGTCAGCAGACATGGAGAACACTGGTCACTTATGCTTTCAAGGGCACAGTCTAATCCAGACCCACTAGTAGGGACATCCTGTGGAGGATTTCAGCTAGTATTTTTAGATCTGCCTCGCTTAGAGGGACCGATCCTGTGTAAATCAAAGGCAAAAGTTCTCGTTAACTTCAATGGCGAAAGATCAGACACAAGAGGGTCAGTAAGACTCATTCATATCTTTGGCAGCCTTTCTTCTTTCCTGGTAATGGTGATATCCTCCTTTCTTGCCAGGCAGAGAGTAGTAAAACTGCACTGCTGAAAGTCTCGTTGTACATGCAAGAGCTCTATCAACGTCCTGTTGAGATTTATCTCGGCAAAACTCAGTGGGAATCTGTCAGTTGTAACTTAGATAGCGCTTGGTTATCTCTTCCTATTCTTCCCCATAAGGCCCTGTCTGCATTAAGGCAATTTGCGCTAGTGTCACTACATCATTGCAGTGGAAACCCCTAATGCAGGCATACTGCATCGGTGCAAAGCAGGGCTTGCAGCGGTGCAGCCTCACCCCAAGTAAAATACATATTGGTCACACCTGCGTTACTCCTCCTCCCCCCTCCCTCCCTCTGGCATAAGCTCCACAGGGGTTTGCACTGGAATAACCATATTCATTGTTACACCACTAGTAAGTGGCAAGGTATTATTATTTTAGTGCCTATGTCGGAGCTGAAATGTAGCCTGTAATGTACAAAGAATCCAGACATGATCAGTTTGCTGATCAATGGGAGCTGAGGGCACTCAGGACTTTCCAGGCTACAACCAGTACCTCACAGATTTGGGCCTTCTGTGACTGCCCAAGGTCACAGAAAGCAGTGGCAGAGCAAGGCAATAGTCTTGTTTGATATGTTTACAGTTCTTCAGATTGACCAGCTGTGAATGATGATTTCAGCAGACCATGACCTTAAAGAAACAGGTGGCTATAATCTCTAATTGGCCAAAGGCACCGCAATGATCAAAAGTACTGAATAGCTTTGGACAGTGGAAGCTGTGTAAAACTCATGCTTGGCCGTGGCTATTGAGCTCATAGGTAAACAGAAGAAATTTCAGATAATGCACACAGAGAGGTGCTTTAGTACATAATAATGACTTTTCCCTTCTGACAGCATGTGCAGAGTGTTGTGCATTTTAAATTCATAAATTCCATCTTGTTCAGATGTGTCCATTCATGCTTCTGGATTAATATCCATATTCATTGTTAACAATGGTAAATCGATCATGCATTGATTTTCTGTATTCTAGGGCTTTGTATTCTGGTTCTGCAGGAACCCAAACCAAGCCCAATTCCCTGGCATTGGGCTCTATGTTTATATTTTGAATAGCGCTGTTTTGTTTTTGTTGTTTACTTCATGGAGCCATTTATAATGACAAAATAATAGGAGTTTGGGTCTCCTGGCCATCCGAGACATGAAACACTACGCGAAGGATATATCTCATGTTATTATTTTATCCCCATAAATGGCTCCCAGAGATTTTAAAAAGACTGAAATAAAACAAACACAAACTCTGGTCCACATTAGAAAACCTGCACCAGTTCAGCTAGATCAGTTTTAAATTGATCTAGTTAAACTGGCGCAAACCCCTAAGGTAGACAGACATACTTAAAATGGTTTAACCCTTGTTTAAATCAATTTAGCTTAATTTGACACAGGCTAAACCAGTTTAACAGTTAATACAATCTAAGGCTTTGTCTACACAGGAAAGTGGCACCAATTTAATTTAAAATCAGTTTTTACACCAATATAGTTATACCCAGTGCAAACTCCTGTATAGATGCTCTTAGTTCAGATTAATTTAAACCTGTTCCCAAACAACTTAAGCTAAACCGAGAAGACCGCTCTGATGCGGAAATGAGAGCATCTTGCACAGGGAGTTGCTATGGTTCTATGATATCTGTTTAAATTCATGCCTTAGGTTATATCAGTGCACATTTCCCTAAGTGCATCTATGTTTGGGTTTTGCACCAAATTTAACTAAACTGATTGCGTTAAACCAGTTCAAAGTTCTAATGTGAACCAACCCGAACACGAAAACCCACGCATGTCATAAATTGTACCTGACCATGCCATCGGCAAAGCAATCAGAATGCTTTTGCACCCATGTGAGCTGTTTAAGCTGGTTTATTGTGAGCTGGCACCAATGATGGGTGCAAATGTGACACCACGTAAGCTTTTCCTCCTCCTTTGTGCTCCCATTCCCTTTTGTCAGTGCTGCTATACTGTCTCTCTCCACTTTCCACCTTCTGCTGCTGTCCTGGTAACAGCCGTTGCTGAGTGGTGACTGACAATCAAAAAGGAATCCTACAAAAAATTGCTAAGGAGGAGGACAAAAGAATAACACAAGCATATAGGGACAAAATCAGAAAGGCTAAGGCACAAAATGAGTTACACCTAGCAAGGGACATAAAAGGCAACAAGAAAAGATTCTATAAATACATTAGGAAGAAGAGACAGATGAAGGGAAGTGTAGGTCCTCTGCTTAGAAGGGAAGGAGAGCGAATAATGGGTGACATCAAGAAGGCTAAGATGTTCACTGCCTGTTTTGTTTCAGTCTTCACTAAAAAGGTTAATTATAACGTGGGAAGGAATGCAAACCAAAATAGGGAAAGAACAGGTTAAATAATAGTTAGATGTTTTCAAGTCAGCAGGGCCTTTTGAAATTCATTCTAGGTACTTAAGGAACTAGCTGAAGCAATCTCAGAACTGTTCGAAATTATCTTTGAAAACTCGCGGAGGAATGGTGAGGTCCCAGAGGACTGGAAAATGGAAAACAAAGAACCTAGTTTTAAAAAGGGGAACGTAGTGGATGCAGGGAATTATAGATCAATCAGTCTAACTTCAATACCTGGACAGATACTGGACAAATGATTAAGCAATCAGTTTGTAAACACCTATAGGATAATAGGGCGATAAGTAATAGCCAACATGAATTTGACAACAAATCATATCAAATCAACCTAATTTCCTCTGGTTCTTGCTCTAGTAGATAAACTAGGGAAATGTGGTCTAGATGAAATTATTATAAGGGGATGTAAAACTAGCTGAAAAATCATACGCAGAGTAGTTATCAATGGTTCACTGTCAAACTGGGAGAACATATCTACTGGGATCCCGGAAGAGTCTGTCCTGGCTCCAGTACTACTCAATATTTTCATTAATGACTTGGATAATGGAGTGGAGACTATGCTTATAAAATCTGGAGATGACACCAAGCTGGGAGGGGTTGCTAGCACTTTGGAGGACAGGATTAGAATTCAAACAACCTTGACAAATTAGTCCAAAATCAACAAGATGAAATTCAATAAAGACAAGTGCAAAATACTTCATCTAGGAAGGAAACATCAAATGCACAACTTCAAAATGGGGAATAACTGGCTAGGTGGTAGTACTGCTGAAAAGGATCTGGGGATTATAGTTGATCATAAATTGAATATGAGCCAATAATGTGAGGCAGATACATACAGACCCCAGAATGTGTAAGATATGGAAGGTAATTGTCCCCCTCTACTCAGCATTGGTGAGGCCTCAGCTGGAGCACTGTGTCCAGTTCCGGGCACCACACTTTAAGGAAAATTTGGACAAATTGTGGTGAGTCAAGAGGAGAGCAACAGAAAAGGTCAGAAAACCAGCCCTATGAGGAAAACTTAGACAAACACCGCTCAGCAATGGTCTAGGTCAGGGGTGGCCAAACCATGGCTCGCGGCTCTTTTACAGTTGAAAGTGCAGCTCACGGAGCCCCCCACGCTTCCCCATTCTCCACCTACCAGACATGGGGGGGGAGGGGCAAGCTCAGGGGGTCAAGTTCTGCCAGAGACAACTGGTGCCTGCTGAGAGTTGGGGGGCACAATTTAAAGGTCTGGCCCCCCAATAGCTTGTCATGCCCCCCAGGCATGCCCCCCTTATCCTCGGCGGCCCCTCCCTGCAGCTCCCAGATGTTAACTCCAGGTGGAGAGGCAGTGGCAGAGAGCTGCAGGGAGGGGCTGCTGCTATAGTTCCAGGGAAGAGGCATCAGCAAAAGCAGCGGCTCTACCTGCAGCTCCCAGCTGTTTGCCGCTGCCTCTCCCCATGGCCGCAGCCCCCAGCTTGCTGGCTCCGGCAACTGCCGTGCATGGAGGGGGCACAGCGGCACCATGTGACCGAACGGGGCCAGCAAACCCAGGCAAAAAGCTGGGGGGGGCCACCTGACCCAACCTGCCTCCCCCATGCGTTACCAGTGGGGAGGGGAGTGTTGGGGCTTTAGCCGCATGGGGCGCACCTGCCGGGGCTCTGGGCTTCAGCAGAGCAGGGCTGAAGCCCCAAGCTCAGCAGGTGCACCCCAGCTCTCGAATGTCTGAAGAGTGTCATATGCGGCTCGGAGTACATTTGGCCACCCCTGGTTTAGGTATACTTGGTCCTGCCTCAGCACAGGGGGATAGCCTCTCAAGGTTCCTTGCAGCCCTACATTTCTATGATTGTGATGGGAAAGGAAAGTCACCCTTCTTACGCTTCTCCTCTCCTCTTCTCCTTCTCCCTATGTGGGCTAGATGCAGGAACCAGTTGCTGTCGTTTTCTAGCCTGTGTAATGCAGAAAATCAGACTAGATGGTCATAATGGTCCCTTCTGGCCTTAAAATCTACTAATCTCTGCTTAACCCCAGTACAGTCCTATTTGTTTGAAATGAAAATCAGTCAGCAAAAGATGTTATGTCAGCTTTGCTCAGTCAGGGCGAGTTGGTACATTAAGCCTAAGTATCATTTCTAAGGTAACACCTACCCGTGTGTCTAGATTGTACGCAGTCTTCTTTAAATCCTGCAGGGCCCTCTGCATGAATTCAAACGCATGGCAGTCGACGCAGGGACGACCTGGGAAAGGTTGCAGTAGAAAGACATCATTGAAATGGCACGGAATTGATATCATGGCAATTCCAAGAGAAAATATGATCTTGTATTTCCGAGAAAAGTGCATTTAATAAAGTGAATGTGCCTGGGTTGCACACACAAAATGCCTGTGTGCATGTACAGGATGGGGCTGTGCCTATACAAAAGTATATGCCTGTATGTGCAAATCCCCTGTTCGCATGTCATTGCAAAAGTACATGCACGTTTTTGCACACCTGCTTTTTAAAACCTGGACCGTGCTCTTGAAGAACCTGACCCTGGTGTCACGTGCTGTCAACTCCCATTCACTTCTCTGGAGTGAAAGCACTCAGACCCTCACATGAACGGGTCAGCGCCCTGCAGGACAAGACGCTATGGAGACATTTTCAGTGGTTCCAGAAATGATACGGACAAGTTATTTGTTCAGAAGCCCCCATGCATGTCTTGGCGAGGGAGAATGCCAAATCTGGGTTTTCCTCCTTTCTCCTGCAGTCATGTTGTGGGCGGAGCGGGCAAAAATATTCCTGCTTAGGGCCCCTGATGGACTACCACCGACACTGCCCACCCAACACTGATCTAGGTCTCAGTCTCCTGCATTTGATCAATGAATTAAGAAAGCCTGCCCTCTGAGGGAAATACACCATATAAAACTGCAACCCCTGGATAAACAGGAAATAAGGAGATTGTGATGTACAGTGATAACAGAGCATCCACTCCCAGAGAAAGGGGACCAGATCCTGGCCCATACAGCCCCTTTGTGCTGCTCTGACAATGCAAAGTGGTCAGAAAGCTGCCTTAGCCATACAGCTGACAAGAACCTCAGGTGGGGGAGTCCCTGGGTGGTGCAGGGCAGGTGTAGCTGTCACCCAGTTGTGGCCTCCTGGTGTAGGAGGGATGAAGAGAGGGATGTAGCCAAAGCACTTCTGTGCTCCGTCAATCCACAGCAGGCATAACAGCCCTTTGGAGAAGTTCCAGCAGCCCTGAGACTCCCCTAACTTGCAGCAGAAGCCAAACGAGTGCCTTGGTTGTGTGGATGAGGTGAGCAAGCACACCTCACGTTGTTACACACTGATCCTCCTGTCTGGCTTTGAATTGGGGAGACTCAGATAGCGGGAAACTGCCTTTACCCCATCCCCATTCTGGACCCAGCAAGACACTTCTATGACATTTTTTTTCTTCCCTCTTCCACCTAATCAGGAAGGATATCATTGTGTCTCAAGCATTTCTGATAGTTGAATATCTTCTGTAGTGTTAAAGAAAGGCTACCACTAAAGCTTTTCAACACCTTGGCAATTTATAACTCTATCTACTGCAATATGAATATTTTTCTAAATTAACACATTTTATTGTCTGTAATTTATAGTTGTATTCTTATTGATTAAGGTGGATAATTGTGATGAGAATGAATTGTTCTCTTTATAGCACATCTGTACATATGTGGACATCAGTCTAGAGCGAGACTAAGGCAAGACATCAACAGTGCATATTCTTTTAACCTTTCCTCAGAGATCCTATTTTTCTAAACCTCCGTTGTTGCTGTCCTATGATATGAACTCAAATTTCTAACTCTTCTCCATTTTTCTCGATCCTTTTTGCAGAGGACGACTACTTGCATTTGAAACATGCCAGGCATAGACATTACTGCATTAAGAGGCATTCCCCTATAAATGACAAGCAGCAAAGGCATTGTTCTCCAGGGCGGGGTTGAGTGGTGGAGAGGGGCTGGCTATGAGCCAGCCTTTAAATTAACTCAGATTTGGAATGGTTTAAACAAATGGGATTTTTAAAAAGATTTCTGGTCTAATCATTTTAACTGCTGAGCACCGAATGAGAACCAGCAGAAAGAAGACTGGCTTTTCTCATCTTTTATCAGTGAACATATCATTAGCTTGGCATTGCAGCCTACTTTCTTAAATTACTGCATGTCTTTTGTAAGAGAGTCTTGTGATGACTCGGTACGGTAAGGAGCTGCCCAAGCTGAAGTTATGGTCACTAAAACATTTACATCATCAGAACTTGGTGGTGCAAAAATGAAAGTAGGAAATGCTCATCTCAAGATGAGACACCTGTCTGTCTGCATAAGGAAGTGACACTGCAATCTGCACTCAAATGCTGACTACGCCCCTCACAGAAACCATCAGCGTGCAGGGCGGAAACTGATGGGCATTAGTTTTCAGAACCTCACTCTGAAGACTGGGAGACAGTGAAGATTCCCCAAAGATGTGTGCTAGAGTGAGGCTGAAATTCACCTCTGAAGAGGGTCAGCTCAAGGTCTATGTGCCACTTAACCCCCAGTTACACCCTGAACGTGGAGCATCAGCCTTGTGTTGTCTCTCAGCACAGAGGCAAATTTCACCCTAAGCAAACAAACAAGGGCAGGGCTGTTTTAATTGTGTGTAATGATTTGTAGGATGCACTTAGGCATACTGTAGTATATTTTGCCAGAGCGATGACCTCTAAGTCACACGAGAGCTCAGTACAACATTCTGAATCTGCTATTCAATCTTTTCTGAGGAGTGGGGACCAGCTGGCATTTTGGGGGGAAGATTTAACGGGTTTGTGGATTAGCAGAACAAGAACACTCAAGATTCTAGTATAAATTTAAATTGATCCTGTCTGCATGGAAATTGTACAATGCCTTGCTTGTGTTCCTGCCGTCCTCCTAGTAAACGACCGAAACTGAAATAATTTCAGAAGTCTAATTTACTTTCCGTTACATGTGCAATTTATTTACTCTTTGCATTTTATGCAGCTTGGACTGTGAAACTAGACTGGCTGGTTCCCATTTTCAAGCTCTCCTGCACAAGCACAAGATTGCTGTGTTGGGGTTATAAACACAACAGGGGAGGTTTACATTTTAAAAAAAATTGGTTTTCATTGACATTTAAAGAAAACTATTCTAAAAACATTGATATTGTTTAATGTTTGCATAGTCCAAGGTACTGATTATTCATTGCTAATTACTATTCATAACCAGCTAGGTCCTGCTCTCTGCTTCACTGGTGAGCAAAGTGGGAAACAGGATCGAGCATCTATAGCCTCCTTCCACCCCAAACAGCAGGGCAAGGTATAGCGAGAGAAGGTCAAGAGAACTCTAGGCAGGACCAGTAAATTCACTTGCCCAAGAGGGTGTAGTCTGCCAGCTAGGGAGTGCCTGGTATTCGCTAGAGCACTCTTATGTGTACTGCAGTCAGCAGCACACACTAGCTGGAAGCTACGTGGTGCTCCTGCTCATAGCAATAGCAAACTGCACTCCATCATGCATCTCCCAGGCCTGCCCTGAAGCATGAGGTCTTGGCTGGCAGGATTCCCACACTGCAGGAACTATCTGCCAGTGTCCTTGTTCTCACTTGCAGCAGCAAGGAGTGCAGATGCTCTCCTGCACTGAGTTTATTAAGTTTGGTAAGCCTCCCATCCCGGCCGCCCTCTTCTTTAACAAAACTTAAAGGTAGGGCCCATACTAATTTAACACCTCCACCATCACACCCCTCACTTGTGGGGTTCCTCAAGGGTCAACACTCTCTTCAGGCCTATTCAACATCTACATGCAGCCACCAGGTGAAGTGGTCAGATGACATGCACTTAGGTGCTAACAATACGCAGGTGGCACATGCCTCTACCTATCCTTCATCCAGGGCCGGCTTTAGGCCAATTCCACCAATTCCCCCGAATCGGGCCCTGCGCCTAAGAGGGCCCCACGCCCAGTGGCAGGGCCGCCGGGGTGGGGGAAAGTGGCCGAAAATCCCTTTCCTGGCTAGAGGCTCCTTTTTAATTTTTACTCACCTGGCGGCGCTCCGGGTCTTCGGCGGCACTTCGGCGGCGGGTCCTTCACTCGCTCCGGGTCTTCGGCGGCAGGTCCTTCAGTGCCGTCGAAGACCCGGAGCAAGTGAAGGACCACTGCTGAAGACTAGGAGCGCCACCCTGTGAGTACAACCCCCTACTTTTTTTACGTGTTTTTTTTTTTAGTTTAGACGGGGCCCCGACAAAACTGTTCGAATCGGGCCCCGCACTTCCTAAAGCCGGCCCTGCCTTCATCCCATACAGCCATGCCACTACTGTCAAGATTGGGCAAGCTCAGCTCACGGATGTAGAACAGCTGGTTGAAGATGAACCCAGGCAAGACAGAACTTAAGGAAGTGGGCAAAAGAAAGCACTCTGAGTAGTTTGCAGCCACAGTGCAGTCTCCTTTGGTTAAAGATATTCACCAACAATTCGCTCAGGGATGCCCCTGGATTCCTCGCTGGCATTAAGTTCTGACATTACAGCATCACAAGCAAAGCATTCTACCTTTTATAGCTGTCCTGACAGACAATGACCTGCCCTCAGTTATACGCACCCTTCTCAATCCCCAGCTGGGCTGGGGCAAGCAATGCCGTCTACCTGGGAAAAATGTCGCGAGCCCTCAGGAAACGCCAGCTAGAACCTATATAGCAGTTCCTCTCCTCAGCAGCACCAGCTACAGGAGCACATCATACCTGTCTTCCACTCACTGCACTGGCTTCTTCCCATACCATATTATGTCAAAGGCAAAGGCCTCGTTCTGAATCTTCAAGGTACTCAACAGCCTGGGCCTAGAGTATCTAAAAGCTCAGGGTTGAGGAGCGTGGTTGACAGTGCTGTTGAATAGAACTCTCTACCACACAGGGGGAGAGCGCCTGTGAAGGAGTCAGGAGCCCTCAACTGGGGAATGAACTGCCACGAACAAAGAACCACTACAACACTTCACTACCTTCCATTCAATGTGCAAAGGACACTTGTTTGCCCCACCTTTGCTAATATAAACACATAGCACAGGGCACATTTAATTTAAAAACCCCTACAATTTTCCCTCTGGTCAGAGGGTGATAGAAAGAATGAACCATGTTTGTCAGATGTTAGTCAAGTCGATTAATGCGCTACTGGAAGGCACTCGGATACTACGATGATGAGGGCAGTAGAAGAGTCTGAATAGAACAAGAAAAATAGAATTTAACACTCTCTCTCTAATAAAGATGAGACTAGAACAGAAAGGAACAGAACTGGGACATTACCCTCTAGTCCTGTGTAGGTACCAAGGGTTCATCTGAAAAGCAGCTATGTTATCCTAGGAAAGTAAAATGCAGTGACCAAATGGACTTTTGAATTAAAAGCTTTGGTGTCAGGAGAATGGACGGAGATGGCTGTGATAAAATCTAACATTGATTTATGTTCAGGGACCAGTTTTATTTATGCAGTCACCTTCCACTCTTTTTAAAACTCTGGGTGAGAGCTACTTCATATTTTTATCGCTCTAGGGAGTGGCCATTCTGCGCTTCCGGAGCACTTTTCATTGTCAGACCACTTTACAACACTATCTTCTCAAAACATCCTCACATCATCTCTGTTACAATTATCCTCCTCATTTCACTGGGGAAAACTGAACCAGTGACTGGCCCAAAGCAGTCAGTGCTAAAGCTGGGATTAGAACGTGGGAGTTCCTGGCTCCCAGACCTGTGCTCAGACCACTACCTCACATTTTAATATTTTGCGCTGATGTACAGCAGTGCAATTCCAGAATTCCACATGCATTTCAGGGTTAAACTCTGTGGGTCAAATTCCTTTGTGTAAATCCACTGGGGTTACACCAAAGATGAATCCAGCTGAATATACTGGTTTGAGCATTGGCCTGTTAAACCCAGGGTTGTGAGTTCAATCCTTGAGGGGGCTACTTAGGGATTTGGGACAAAATCAGTGCTTGGTCCTGCTAGTGAAGGCAGGGGGCTGGACTCGATGACCTTTCAAGGTCCCTTCCAGTTCTAGGAGATAGGATATCTCCATTAATTAATTAAAAATTAATTAAAATACCTTGTTCCAACCAAATAACAAAAGACATAAAAAACATGCCTGCAACACCCTAGCAGAACTAAGCAACAGTTTGCCTGTAACAGTAACCAGTAAGGATTTCATGTGTACAATTGCACACCTAGAGTATCTTCTTGCAGACCTGGAAGAAAACAAAAATGACCTAAGACTATACAGGTATAAGATAACGTCACATAAATATTTAGTAGTTAATTTGTTTTCAAATAAGTGCTAATGAAATAATAATAATGCAAACATTTCATTTACTTTCCTGGTGTGTTACAAACCAGTTTGCACTTCCTAGCAGAAGGGCAGCCTACAGATGGAGCTCGTGAAATTTGAGCGTTCACTGGATGAAGTGATGTACATAAACAATGCAGATTCGGCTTCTGAAGCCGAGCCACCATAGCGTGGCAGGGGTACATACTTTCTGCTGGAATGACACTCCCAGATTCTTGACTGGCCCCGACCAGCTTCACACTCAATAGGCCAACCACTGAAATTAACTGGATTGCCATCCACATCGCTCTCCAGACAGAAGGAGACGCCATTATTATCATCAAGAATTAAAGCTTCCTTCCCAGCCTGAAACAAGAAGAAATAGGAAAGATCAATTGTTCGCTCCCAGCACATTCAGCCTCATGAAGCAGATGTGAAATGACAGCCTTAGGTACACGCACACGCACACACACACACACCCCATTGCAGCCACGGGCCATGCACTTGGAAATGAAACTCACCCAAACTACTATTTTGCTAAGTGCCTGATCTTCCTCTGTCTTTTGTGACAGAACCTTGGAAATGGCAGTAGCAAGCAGCTAAGGGAACCACTGCAGCCATACTGAGCATGCGTCCCCTGCATTCCCCCTCTCACTGATTAGGGTCATTGCCATGGAGATTCACTATAGCAACATATAAGAACTGAGCTGCCAAGGCGAGGAGAAGATTTAAAGGAGCAGCGACAGGACATATGGTAGCTGCTTTGTTTACTAATTGCCTCCATTCTTGGATGGTCACTTACTCCCATGGGCATACATTGGCACACTTCAGCAACTGCTGCAACCACGTACTATAACAAAGATATTTATGAATTTTTGGATTGTTGCCTTTATTCCAAAATGTGACTATGCTGAAATGGGCAGCTCCTAACCCATGCTTAGCTGCAAGACATTTACAGCAGGATTTCAGTTGGAGCAGAATCAGGCACCTGGTATCCAACTCTTGCTCTTTGTGGCAAAGACTCTGTTCTGTGTCTAGTAATAGGCAGGGCATGTCATCAGTGCTTAACAAGCAACACTAGTCATAAACCCACCCCTTATGGCCAACAGAAGTGAATGTGAGTCAACCAGATGAATCACGCCTTCCAACCAGTTTCCATGGATCGGACATAGAATCACAGAAGGTCACATGGATGGCCCCAAGCCAATATCCCAGAGATAAACACCCTGAGTTTTGGGGGAGTTCATAATCCAAAGCCAACTCTGGATCTGAGTTTCTGTTAATGGACCTGTGTAGAAGGTGCACAACCATCAACAATGCTGCCTTATGGTCAGACAGTGGTTAGCAGGATGTCTCCCCCTTGAAGTATAGTCCAGTCTTGTCCTGTCTGTCAGCACCTCCACCCCAGGGGTTTTCAGTCCTCCCCTTTAGCACAGGGGCTTTGAGGACTGGGCCCGTGAACAATCAGTCTTTTCCAGCTGGTCTCTCACCAGAGGTGAAAGCTACTGTTGTAGTATTGTCCTCTTGGAGTGGGTAGGGGAGACCAGGCTAGGGTTACCATACGTCCGGATTTTCCCGGACATGTCCGGCTTTTGGGGGCTCAAATCCCCGTCCGGGGGGAAATCCCCAAAAGCCGGGCATGTCCGGGAAAATCGGGAGGCTCGGCCGGGGCCTCTTTGTGCGGGGCCGGGGTCGCGGGGCGGGGGCATGGTGCCGGGCCGGGCGCGCGGTGCCGGGCCGGGGGCCAGGGTCGCAGTGCCGGGCCGGTCCCGCGGG